GGACCTCATCGCTGTCACCGAAACATGGTTGTGCTGCGAGATAACGGATGTTGAAATCGAGCTAACGGGAATGTCCGTTGTCCGGAAGGATTGAGCCAGCAAAGGTGGTGGGGTAGCCCATTATTTTCGTAACAACATGCAAGGCGCGCCCATAAACGATTCGGAAACCGACGTACCTGATTCCATGTGGTGTAGTTTCCGGCTAAGAGGGAACGATCTTGGCCTACTGGTTGTTGTTTACCGCCCACTATCGTCTACTCCTGAGATGGACTGCAACTTGGTAGGTGCGTTGAGGCAAGTGATAAACAGATAGTACAGTCACATTCTAGTCACCGGCTACGTCAGCTTACATGTGCTAGAATCCCAGGCCTCATCAGGAGAGTAATTCAAAGCAGACCTGTGAGATCTGGTATCAGACTTCCCGCTTTATGGCCACGTCACTACGCCAGCCAGATTTAGGGGAACGAACAGGTCATCCATATTGGACCGAATATTCACTAATGAAGAACTGATGGTTGAGAGAGTGATAACCGATACTCCTCTGGACCGCAGCGATAATGCAACGCTAGTGTTTCATTACATGTGCTACGAGGATTATCCTAAAGAGCATGCCGATGAATATCATGTCGTAACCAACTATGGCGACCTGTCCGACTTCATTGCTGCAACAAGCTGGTCGTACTTAACTGAAGTAACCCCTGAGGTGGTCTGCGGAGAATTCTTCAACGTATTTAACAAGCTCGTGGCAAGGACATCTGAAACCAAACACTACCGTCCTAAACGGATGAAGTCTTTCGTAAGGAGCAGAACACGTAAATGCATGGCATTAAGGGACTTGGCATGGCACACCTACACAGCCTCCCCGAACGACGATAACTGGGATGTCTACACAATACAAAGAAACCACTGTGTCAAACTCGTCCGGGGGGATAAACGTAGGAGCCAACAAAGTCTAGTGGAAAAGTTTTGCTCCAATCCCAAATTGCTATCCGGACACGTGAACAACTTGCACCGTGTTAAGCGCGGTATTCTTGCTCTGCACACAAAATGCGCGTTAGCCCAAACCACACAAGAGGCGGTCAACGTTCTTGGACAACCATTTGGCCGTACCTTCCAAAGCGTGCAATCATCATACGTCCTGCCTAAGCAGATAATGCCGCCATCAGTGCTTAAGCATATATCGTTTTCCTGGCAGCTGTACTGATGAGGCTGATGTCTCTGCGCGACTTCAGCTCCCCGGGTGCGGACGGCATTCGCCCGAAGGCGTTGAAAGCTGCTGTCATGAGGTTAGCGGCATCACTAGCAATATTCTTTCAACGACGTCTGAACAAGATGCACGTCCTCACGATGTGGAAGCACAGGATCATCACGCCAATCTATACAAGTGGCAGCCGTGCCGAACCAACAAATTATCACCCGATAACACTACTTCCTGTGATCTCCAAGCTTATGGAGTCCATTGTAGCTGAGGCTTTGATGAGGTGCCTGAAGAACAACAAAATGCTCGTTCCGGAGCAGCACGGATTTCGCCAAAATCGGTCCTGTACCACAAATCTGTTGAATGCTTGTGCAGGTTGGACGGAATCTGTGGACGTTGGTACGGGAGTCGACGCGGCCTACTAGGATTTCACAAAGGCATTCGACCGTATAGACCATCGCATTCTACTCCACAAACTCCAGAAATATGGAATTAGCGATCCCGTTCTGGGCTAGATAGGAGACTTTCTCCTGCAACATCACCTGAATGTGAGGGTTCGAAGCAACCTATCGGAATTCACCGAAGTTCTGTTCGGCGTACTTCAGAGCTCAGTACTTGGACCCCACCTGTTCCTGGTTTTCATAAATGATTTTGCGAGCGTGATATCTCCCAACTGTTTGATATTTGCTGCTGATCTAAAGGTATGGCGTACTATAGCTGCAGCGGGGATCACACAGCGTTACAAGAGGACATGGATAAAGCGTACACATGGTCCATCCAGAACATGCTGCATTTCAACGTCAACAAGTGCAAAATTCTCACCATACGGCATAAGAGTATGCAAAGCTACCGCCTAGGACCACAAATTCTACAGCGGGCTTCTCACGAGTGCGATCTCGACGTGCCAGTTCAAAATGACCTCGGTTGTTTGAGGCAGACTGAAAAGTCAGCTAAAAAAGCAAACCAGTATCTCGGCCTTCTTCGCACAGTTTTGGGAAGTTGGACCCTTCAGTCTTTCCAAAAATGCATAGTACGTACGTGAGACCGCACGCGGAATATGCTATTCAAACCTGGTTCAAGAACCATCTCACCGCACTCGATAGTGCACAACGTAGGGCAACGAACAGCATCACAGGTTTGACCAGCCTCCCCTATCCACACAGGCTGAAGACCCTCAAAATATACAATGGACGTTATCGGCGTCTAAGTGGCCATCTCATAATGGTATACCAGATCTTGCGAAACCCCAACCACCCATGTCATTCCTTTCTGATACTCAGTCAAAACACCCCGCTAAGAGGTCATCAGTTTTAGCTGGTCCCGCAGCACAGCCGACTGGAATGTCGGCGAAACGTTTTCTCGCTTCGAGTATCACAGCCTTGGAACGCCTCCACGGAACATGTAATTAATGCTCACACCCTATCGCTTCTCAAAAAACACCTTGAGGATAGTCTATCACATTTGCACTACGCGTTATAGCCCATGACCACCAGATGCTGGCACTAATGCACAACAGACAGTGGACAATGCCATAACCCTACTCGAGAATGAGTCACTCCGAATCCCTTGCACACAATTTGATAAACGCTACTACTGTATAAATTGGATTTCTGTATCCCCGAGATAGCTACACACGAGTAAGCGTTGTTCTTGCTATTTGTTCTGTTTTTCGCGCTTATTACGTGCTCTATACACACTCCACTTATTGCTCTGTGTGTGCACATTTTAATTTCAAACTCGCTTATACGGCAGTGTAGTATAATCTGTAATCGCCCGAACCGACGATTCCATTATCCCTTGGTCTATCTTTTCTCACACTAACCACCCCAAGGGACATGTCAGACACCTGCTTTTTTTACCCATCATTAATCATTGTTCAATGTTCATGGGTGTGAATGTGGGAAGGTATGTAGGAGACGGTGTGTACAGAAGTCAATCTCTGCCATTCCAATCACTATTACAGTATTAGAAGTGTTTCGGGGCGGCTCTCTTCCGATACCGTTATTCACGACCGGTCGGGTGTCGCAATTCAGACAGATGGCGAGTACTCTAACTATGAGCTAGCTGCAACTCTTTATAAATAGTGGCTTCTAAATGCATAGGTTTGTGAACGGTAATGCTCAACTACATATATTACTATCAGAGCAGAAAATAACTTTGTAGGGGTGTTAATGAACAGTTGCCACAGGTAGCTACTCATTCCGCCTGCACAGGTAGCTGGACAAATAGTCAACATAACGTGACTGATAAACATTACTAAAGCTTCCTACGAAAGATACCATTACTTGCGTAAATCTGAGCACGTTTAGAACTAGGCGCGCCTTTCTTTGGTTTTAAGATTCGCACCTGCTGGATTCACTGAGGCCTAAGCACCTGTGTGCCTACATAGATAGAGTATGTGTTGACTAGTTTGATTCCATAGATCGTCACAACGGCTGAATGAGCTGAGTTGGCTGCAGCAGGTGCAATCTAGGTATTCTCACCGGGAATCGAAGAGAATCTTGATTTATCAGAAGGATGGGATAGATCAGGGATCGAGGAAACACCAGTTCACTCAATGTTGAGCAATGAAGCAGATAAGCACTAGCTCGAATATAACTGGCTCTAATCACATTCCGCGTTGAAGGTAACGGTTTTCACTTTTTGTTTGTTGGATATCTTTAGAATGTTTGTTATTAGTTGCTAACCAAACAAGCTGCTTGAAGTGTGCATGACTTAAGGTTTTCCGTGAGATAGTATAAATTAGGACTGGAAGCAGCTAAAGCCGCTGGGATGCCGTCTCACTGAAACCGCCCTATATTCATACTAAAACTAACTGCTTTATCCGCGTATTGTCTGTAAGACACAGGTTCTTGCGAGGGCTAACGCACACATTAGGGTTTCCTTTTATGCTGTTATCCTTCGCTGTATCGAATCGCCATTTCAGCACAAAATGAACGGTGTGTTTCCCCTGCTATTGCGTGTTATTAGACAAGACATTTCTTTATACATGCAATACAGTGTTCAGAAAGAAACAGAACTATGGCAATATTGCGCTAACCGGAAGAATAAACACAATGCAACTTCAACAGTGTGCCAAAAGGTCGTCAGCGTAAAACATATTTGCGCATATATATATATATATATATATATATATATATATATATATATATATATATATATATATATATATATATATATATATATATATACGTACACCGTGGCATTATACGCACTGAAGATTTTACACAGATGAACAGGTCTTTAATTTCAACCAGGTATACTTTGATACACAACTAATTATTTATAACCTTGCTAGTGTATCAGAATGTACGAAAATTAGCCTCTGTGGAGTTTGGCTGGTACCAGTTGGTGTAGTCTCCCATGCTCTAGGCATTGTTTTTGCTTACGCACCCAGTCATTTTGAGATAGAAACTGGCTCAACTCTGCTAGCACACATCTGCGAGTAACCAAGGTGGTATACTTGAGTGGGAAGCATGCCAACACCTGTCGAGGCATGAGTTACTGCGCTTGCGGATGGATAAAGGATTAAGAAGGTGACATCTCTGAAAATAGGCTCCCGTTCCGAGTGTATAGCTGGCTGTCTCAAAAGCTGCTGGGGTGGATTCTTCATTCTCCGTTCGGTGAATGGCCGATCCACTGCTGTTCTCTTTTCGAACTTCATAAAGGATGATACAAAGCATACACTAGAGGAGACCTTGAAAATTCAACCAGAAAATGCTTACAACACTGAGAATGAATGGCTCATTTCCTCCGTATTTCCCACATGCATGATGTTTGTCACTGTCCTAGCATCACTTACCATATTCGTGACCGTCGGCAACTGAATACCATCGAAGTATCTACTTTCGGCAAATATTTTTCGGTGACGATTGATAAGATTTCCTGTGAAACAAACAAAGGTTATCACAGTGATTTTCAATCGTTTAAGATCCAGTAAATCCAGCAGCTTTTCCGAACTTACTAACACCATACAGTATTGCCGATTTGCAAGCTAAGTTGTTATAATAACTGCCTACTGCACATTGGCCAGTAGTCTACGATATAAAACAACAAAGATGAGTTGGCAAATTTCAACTGATTAAAAGGGAGCTTGAGCTCGTCACTTAATTGCATGCTTTGAATCTACTTTGTTTAAAGGAAAAATTTACAGGTGTGTGAGCAAATAAGTTCTTTGCGATTTCTGGCCTCCATTGAAATGTAAGTGGTATATCCGCAAATATCTACGCTCGTACATGTGTCTACTACTCATAAGTCAGCATATATTCGGCGCGTAGTTTTCCCAACCAACTTTCAATCGGTTAGGAATGTATTGGCAAGTTTCTATTGAGTCTATATGAGTGTCAATGAATTTAGCAACCAGTTGCATATTCATCGTCTTCGGTGTGATTCTTGTACAAGGTTAAAGTCAAGCGTGCGACAGTTCAAAGTTCACGCTGTCATAAACTGTATTGCAATTTAAGACTAGCCAAAAAACAGTATAGATTATCGATTAATAATTTGTGAAGGAGAAATCATCGGATCACATACAATAAACTGAATATTGCCTGTAACATACTTAATATGGAATCGGGTAGCAACTAATTGGAATGGCGCGTGTATGATTCAAGCGTAACCAGCGTTAAATCAGCTTTTTTATGCTATTATGGCACTTACAAACTTCCATAGAGTAATACCGTGTATCACAGGTTGATGTTTATATATAAATCCGTTTACCTTGGAAGTGATATTTGGCACTTATGACAACTATTATCCAGTCTAAAGGCTATTTTCGTTACTTTTCGTCACACTGGTAATGGTATTATTTTCGTCCAACCTGCGGTATCATACGTCACTCACCCGATCTCTGCATCTTCAGGACCATAATGAATTACAGATGGTGTTACTTAATAGTCTCCTTACTTCCTTATTTTTATGCAACTACGGAGAACATACCTGTTAACTAGAGCCATAGTAAGAACTCCTTAACATTTGCCACGGATCGGAGCTCCTCACCGTCGTATTTAAATTTCGCAGCACTTGTCAGGTAGTATCAGACAATGACCGGATGAATGATATCGATAGAAGAAAAACCAATACTTCGGATTTACATGTCATTTATTTAAAAGCAGGCCTAATTATAGAACATAGCATCCCATTTAGAAAAGAGGTCATTCTGGGATGTACCTAAGGTATATAAGTACACTTCAAAGGCACTGGATTATGTCGGAACAGAAAGTTTCTAAGTGTAAACTCCTGGGCGAAAGAAGCTCAGACTGGACTCCAGATTAGTGACTTGTCTGATCACATATACAAAGTTACCTGTGTTAAAAGGACGAACAACCAGAAGACTAGTTACGCTCTTTAGAAATTTGGCGGACGTCAGGGAACTGTGGGGCAGATAAGCGTACAATGGCGATTGCCACCGAGGGTAGTGTGACAGCCACCATTACAAGAACGCGAATGTGAACGGTTTTGTCCAGCATTCTAAGAATTAAACCAACCAGCAAAAGGCTTACTGAGTGAAGGAAATAACAGCATAAACGTACGATAGGGTATTTTGTATTCCTTACTGGATGCATAGTTGTCTCCAACGGCATCCCAAACTGATTAATGATATACAGAAACGCCAGCTGCTTTGTTGGATTCCATTAACGTATAATAGCGACAAATCTGATGAGACATGGTTATACTCATTCTCAAACTAGGTGTGATTCACTGAAAACTTAAACTGCTGTTGTTGCCCACGAGAGGCTCTGATCAGTAAATTCCCTAAAGCGCGCCCTTATGAAGACCATTAGAGCTGAAAACTAAAGAAGGAACATGGCGTGCACTGTGAGCAAGTATTTCGCTTGGAAGGTTTAAGTGACGCGTTTCCACCGGGGTCAAAGAAACATCAGGTACGGAACTGGAGAACGGTACTATTCACAAATAAACGAATGACCATATACAAATAAATACCTAAATGATTTTGATTTCAAACGCATACCAGTTACCATGATAAACGTTTTGTCAGATTCCATGGGTTCAGCATCAAGGCGGCCGCTGTACGAAGTCACGGCATTAAAGTACACGTGTTCATAAGGCCGGTAAAGCGGTGGCATTGCTCCATCATGCAAAACGGAGGTGGATGGGTAAGCATCAAGGGAGTGTGAATTCAGCCTCTATGGAGCATTCACAAATAAGCCACGGATGCACGCAAAAAAGAAAGGTCGACATGCATATTCGGTGGGGAATAAAGGTTAACAGACAGACGTAATCGGTGAGGAGTGAAGATCAACAAACTACCTTAAACGGTTCAGCGCATAATGACGAAAATTGTAAACACACATTGGCGAGGGTCCACAGTCAGACTGAGAATATAGATCCAGCGGCATACATGTTTGTTGCCTCAATGAGCACCTGAAGGAAATCCGACACGTTCTCTCTTAACTGAACCCGTCCAATCGGCACGCTCTGTAGGAGCGCAGACGTTCAGGAAACTGCGCGTAAGAAGCGTCACAGTTGTAACTCTGCCCCGGTTGTCGTGCCGCATGTGAAGTGGCGACTCGACTGCAAACTGCATCGGCTGGCGGCCACTCTGGCGCAGAGACTCAGCCGAACTCATTATCTAAAGCACATGATAACTTGACTCCGATACGACTGAGGACTGCCAGACAAAGCACTAACGGAGGCCAGTGTAAAGGCCACAAGCACTGACCTAACCAGTGTGGGGTAAGACTGGTCACGAAGTAAACACACACACACACACACACACACAGCAGTCAGGTTATGATTAGGCGAAGTGATGAAATTCTTGCCATTTGTTTACTGGATCACTGGCTGGGCGATGGATCACGAGCATACACGACCGTCACCAACTTACCCTTAATCCGACTCGTGTTACGTGCCTGTTAATCAACGAGTACTTATTTTTCGCCTGTATGCTGAGTGCGGGTGAGAAAATTTGAGAAACCTGGAAGCACTTGCGGCGCCAAAAAGACAGGGTTGCCTCGCATCACCACGGATGACGTGCTGCTTGTGTGTTTATTCGTGAGATATCCAGAAGCTTCGATCTGAGAATTCGTAAACTCGCCCAGCATTGTGATACTACCAGATATGCTGTCGATAGGATTTTGAATGAAATGAAATTCCGGAGATATAGTACCCGTCAGGTGCAGGTTTTAAACTCATGTGACTCTGAGAAGCGGCTTGAATTTGCCGCAAGTTTTTGAATGCCATAGATATCCATTCAAATCGTTTTACCGATGGGGCTGCTTTCCGGTTGCACGATGCGGAGAAGCAGAAATATTGGGCAACTTGTATTCCACGCCGATGCAGTGTTTCAAGTATACAATATGGCGCAATGTTCATGGTATGGGCTGGGTTAACAGAGCAAAGGATACTGGGACCAAGTTTATTTTTCGGGAATGCGACCGGTAGATCCTTGTTTTGCCGAACTAACGCCATACGCTTTCAAGCATCCTCGTACAAGGAGTTACTACAAATTGCGTCCTTATGGAAGTGGATGCCGATGGGTTATTAAGTACCCTTTAGTTGCAACAAGATGGTGCACTGTGCACAAACGGTGCTGGATTTTCTCAACCAACTTTTCACTTGCCGTTGGATCAGGCGGGCATGATCTATGGAATGGCCTGTTGTCTCACTAGGTTTAAAGCCATTGGCTTTCTTCTTCTGAGGTTATTAAAACAGCGAGTTCACAACAAGAAGCTGGACTCTCTTAAGGAACTGAAGCAGAACATTTTGCACGAATGTCGGTGATTACATTTGGTACTTTGAAGAAAGTGCTAGTTAACAACATCCGGCGAATGCTGCAGTGTACGCGAAATTCCTGCGGGTGTTTCGAACCGTAACTTTGCTGATAAAACTGCGCATTACATTGATAAGCTTTAAATACATATACCATGCAATAATTTATCGACTAAATTTTTGCGCTGGCTAAGACTCTCTTTTTCTTAGCAACGTCAGTTGATGGTTTCTCATAAGCTTTTGCGCTGGCGTGTCGTGTTATAAATAGCTCGGGAAATCCGTTCTCCAGTACGCTGCCGCCAACTTGAAACTTGTCCCTACGGTTCAGTTTCTCTATTCCACCAAATCCGTGTGATAGAGTAGGAGTCGAAGCTCAGTTTTCACTAAACGAACATCTTCCCATCTGAACACAGACCAGTGATGAGACAAGCAGTTGCTTTACAACTACGAGGACAGAACTTACCAAACGGTCATGTGCTAGTGACACCGAGAAGTGACGTACTATGAAGAACGATCATTGCCAGTCCTTAACGTAATAGCTACGCAATGAACAAGTTGTTATATTGAAACAACATATGGGATTAAGTGTCGTAACAATGCAGGAACAAGGCTACATCCAGAAATTGCAAAAATTTCGCACAGGCTAGTCGATTCGATCTTTATGTGACAGACAGCTATAAAACCGAACATGTTATCAAATCAAATGTTAGTGAACTGCAGACACTAGCGACGTTGGGATGAAGTCACACAAAATCATTGACCCAGCCGATTATTCCAGCATCTCGGCTTCCTTATTTGTATAGATTGCCGAAAACACACAAGGAAGGCATCTCATGCCACCAATTGTTTCAATGGTAGGTGCATAGTATCCGAAGTTCTCGAAATGTCTGAGCAATGTAATCGAGCTTATTCTAAGGAAACTAGCCGGCTACAGCGTTAAAGACACACGGTACACGACCTTGTTTTCCTCGTTATAAGTAAAGATAAATGGGATGGCTCACTCGACTTCCGCAAGTTGCGTCATCATTGTAACTACTGATTCCAAAGCCGTTAGTTAAAATATATACACTGCAAACTACCCGTCCAGATAACCGAGTTTAGGGAACTGAGTTCAATATTCCAACGATTTTTGATAGTGGACGATGTAGGCACATAAA